AATTAAGAAGCAGGCCTTCAACATTAACTGTTACATATTTGCTACTATTTTTGAGCTAGTTTAGCCTCTCTCATTACCTTCATTCCAGAATGATCAGTGCAAATTCTGAGAATAAGATTTGATTGGATGCTTTTCATCATTGTCCTTTCTATTGATGGTAATTTCTAACCTGAATGGGAAGCTGGCTGAGCATTGGTTAGAGTGTCACATATGTGAGAGTGTTAGCCACATTGTTGCCTGCCAGCTAAGAGACATGATGGAAGATGGACATAATATAGGATAAGTTGCAGAGCCATGGAAGTCCTGGCACATTAATGAATGTGTTTGAATAAGATACAAAAAAAAAAAGATAAAAGTTGAACAGAGAGAAATACCAGTTTTTCACTTTCCTTTAATTGAACAAGTGGTGGATATTATGATAGATGGTTTTTATTCCAAGTTTTTAAGATTTGGAGCATTTTTCTTTGTTACTAATTATAATATAATTTATAATGATGCATCTTCAAATTGACTTAATGATTTTTGAATAGGAAAAGGAGAATAATTTTCTCTTTAGGTTTTATATATTCTACTGTGATCTTTCTTACCAAGTCACACAACCCCATTTTTATCTTCTGTAAGTCACTGGAAAGGTTAAAGAGGTACTTGTCCAGTATGTCACAGGAGAGGAATCTGAATTTTATACCTTTGTGTTCATAATGTAGTATTTGGTTAATTATTAATTTCTAAAACTGGTGAGATGATGACTAGTTGGAAAGTAATTTATTTAATTGCATGTATGTGCAAAAATTGCTTTTATTTAATGGTTTATTATTAAGATGAACTCACTCAGAAGGTGAAGACTGCACAATATGATCTAAAAGCTTATTTCTGAAGTTATAAACTTAACTGCAGATGGGAAAAAGACACAAACATACTTGGATATTAATTATATAGTGTTTTTAAGCTGTCTTCAAGAGTAATTTTTTATTACACATTGGAAAATATTTACAATAATATTTCATACAGCTATTAAATTCAGGAAAATTCTTTACAACCGGCTGATTACAGTTGTTTATTGATTTTAATGCAAACCTACATGAGAGTTATCTGTGTTAGCCATCCTTATATTGAAGTAATAGATTACAGAAAAGGCAGCTAGTAGTCAGGACTATTAATTCTTTTCAGAATAAATATTGGGAATTCACTGTCACTCTTGTAGCACACTCACAGTCCCAAACCATGTAATCTTTATCCATAGTACAGCTTACAAATAACTGGGCCATGTTCTGCCCTGATGCTAATTGTTATAGGCTGTTGTTAACCTAGTCAGAATATATTGCATGATGTTAGGACTTGAGGAGATGTCAGTTGTGGGATGTTTTTTAAGTGATTTGAGCTGATGAATTCGTATAGTCACTATTTGGATCATAAAATAGGAAAATAAATTTGTTTTTAATCTAAAGTTGAAGCTTTCATTTTCAGGTTTTCATTTTAGATATTTCAAAAGGTCAGCCAACATAAAATTAAGAATGTTATCCCTTATTAACCAACTTATTCTGGCAATTCATTTTTGGTTAACAGATAATTATTTTATCACATTCAAGTTCAAGTCCTGGTTTTCTTTCAAATATTTACTTTGACAAAAAATGGCACAAGATCTTTTCAGTCAGCAAATCTTTATAGCTAATTACTTCAAGACATAATTGTTCCATATTATAAAATTAAGTCATTTAATAGTTTTTGTTTCCTGCTATAAAACTAATTAATCTACTTAATTATTACATTTTAATCATACCGAAAAACTACAGCCTCAGACCATCTAACCCTATTTGAAATATTATGTAGCCATTGAATTTACAGTGTGCTTATTACAACCTAAAATTTTGAACTTTCAGTCCTACTATTTGAAGATAGTTTTCTTGTTCATGGCAAGTCTGAAACTAATGCCTTTATCTTGAGCATTTTAATATTCACCGAACAACTTTATACATGTCTAAGATGTAAGCTGTCAGCATTCACTAAAGTGGAATTATGAAAAGTTACATTCCTAGAAGTCATAATTACTCTAAAGGAACTTTAACAATGCATCAACAAACTTATGGTTCTATCCAGGAAGATGCATTTTGCTAAGTGCCCTTAAGAATTCTAATAATTCACCTGTTACCTAAACATTACTCAGTCAGTTTGAAGAGTTAATTATGTATATAAATTTAGTGGACAGTACCTCTTTCTAATGATGCATCACCATCTCTCAAGTGAGCCTATGAATTTAGTAATAGTCACAGCTGCTTTGATCTTACAACCTAGTGGTTATGATAATAAAGCTCATACTGTAAAACCCTTAGCATCATGATCAATGAATAATTTATTTTCATTTGATAAGTTGGTTATTAAAGAGAACTTTCATTACAGTATAAAATATCTATCCACATTACTCTGACCAGTAAAGTATGTGTGGTCTGTCCAGCATTTTGTGAAGAGGAGAGAGAGAGGCTTTGCTAATAAGTACCTGAATAAAACATACATGGTATTACTGTGAACCAAGAAATCAGAATTCACATATACATTTTCTAGTATTGGCAATTTTTGTATGATTTCAAACTTTGCTACAATCTGTGAGCACTATTTTTCCACTTATATGACCTTAAAAACACATTATGTGGCAATGAAAACTGTATAAATTTGAGGTTTTTTCTTTGATAATATTTAGTTTATCACAGTCATTACTACAAGTCTTTACATTAATTAAAACACAATTTTAGTTCATACCAATTCTCTATGTTGTTTTATCTGTGATATTTACTTTCACATCTTCAGAAATAATATCTGACCAGGAAATAATAAGTGTAGGCCCGATGTCAATTAGCACGTACAAAGACTGTCTTTTTATGGTTCCTTTAACTCTTAAACAAATTATCTTAAATTGTCAACTTCTTCACAAACATGTGGAAGTTTATTTATTCAAGATGAATTTTGCCTTTATATTCATCTAATTCAAGTTTTCTTATAAAACTTCACAACCATCATCCACCATTTCTTTCCTTCTGTTCATGTGTTCTAGCAGAACTACTAGAACAATTTCCAGGTCTGCTTCTTTAAGACTCTAAGTTACATTTATATTATTGCAGCCATTAGTAGATAGTTTTTGTTGACCACATCAGTAACAGTTTTCTTTCTACTTTTTAAAATCATTTATATATTTTTGTGGAATGTTATTGTTTGCAATTACTATTACAGTATCAAATGTTTCTAGATTTAAAACAAATTTAGCTTTGCAGTAATTTAGAATATTGTTGAATATTCTAATTTGGTACTACAGTTGAAGGCAGCGTGACTTTAGAGACTAGAATACCTATAAGTGCAAGTCTTGAGTTCTTTTTTTGATAACTGGAACAGCTGATGTAGAACCTGTTGCTCCAAGTGGTGCAGCTGTGGTTGTTAACACAAAGCTCAATTGAAAATTCCTGGGCACTGGATAATTGAGGTTTATGTCTGTTAAGGTTATTAGTTGCTCCTGCAAATTCCCCCCTTTGTTCACTGTGGCACAATGGTGAGTCTGAGTACTTATAATGCCAAAGATTGGGTTTTGCAATACCTGCAGTGGGCAGAGCACAGATAGCCCTTTCTGTAGCTTTGGCTTAACAATAAATTGCAATGGCTCACATTGTCTGACTCTTTACCACCATTCCCAAAGCAAGTTTCATTTTAAATCTGCACTTGTATGTATTTAATCAATCTTGTAATGTTTTTGCATAGCTGTGAACCTACTATCAATACTTTATAGTATTCATGATAAGATCATTGTCCTCTATTCTCTTCATGGCTCTTTCCATAGAACTCTATACTATATAGTGATGTTTTACAAACTTACAATGTTTTCTATACAAAACTGTACATAATTTTAGATATTATTTTTCTTCTATTCTCAGACATTAATTCCTTCTAAATTTTCTGATCATGTTTTTCAACATTTCTGTTATTCTTAAATTTTTCAACAACCTTTTACGTTTTTGGTCATATTCTATCAGTATTTTCAAACTTTCCTTAATTTTCTTTGACTTTGAATTAAATTAATTGGTTTTACAATATTCATGGGTTTTCTTCCGTTTTTCTGTCATATTTGTTGCCTTTCATAACTTATCTCCACAACATTGTTGAAAGATCTTCAAATATTCTCAATTTCTGTATAGCTTTTCAACATATTTAATATTTCTTTCCTTTCTGAAACCAAACTGCTTTAATATGGGACAGTCTATATAAACATTTTATGTCTGAAATTCTGGAAGATAGCTGATTTGCTCAAGTTACTTATATCTGCTAGCCGCCCTTAACTTTAGAGTAATACAACAGAGGGAAGGCAGTTAGTGATCAGCCCTAACCTCCAACTCTTGTACTATTCTTGTCGAATAGTACTAGTAGGATTTGACCGCCACTCTTACAACGCATCAATGTACCCAAAGTGCGGAGCGTGATTTTTTGCATTCTATTCACTTGGACATGCCATTTTCCTTAAAAATAATAATCAGAATTTTTGTATATTTGTGTTTTTGATCACTATTAATCTTCCATATCCGTTGTGTTATTCATCCATGGTAATCAATTCCTGTGAAAATTAAATGAAAACCTAATTTATTACGCGTAAAAAATAAAAGGTTATTTATGGTAAACCTTGGTGCGAAAAAAACAAATCAGCGAATTGTTCTTTTTTTTTTTTAATTTATGATTGGCTTAATTGTAAAGGAAGTTTGTTACTTATGTACCCAAACTTGCCCAATGAAAAATAATCCCGGTTAAAGTTCAAATATTCAAAATAAAACATATATCAGTACACCAAAATAATTTTTCAGCCATTCAATAGTCCATTGTTTTCATTCTTTCTTTACAAATAAGAATATTTCAACAATTCCTTTAATTAATTTATTTATATCCTTAATATTACAGACAAAAGTTTTTAGAATAGATAGTACTATTTTTTTGAACGAATTGATACATTCGTAAGTGGTATTGTTTGTTGCCTTGCTGGTTCGTAATGCATCTCGCGGGAAGATTTGTTGTTTTTTAGGTGGGTAAAGTAGAAAATCAAATATTAAATGTAAATATGTTTTAAAGAGTATTAAACATTATTGTAACACTTAGTAGTTAATATCGTATTTGGAAACAGAATTAGATTTGTTTTTATATTGGTATTGTTGAATTAAGCGTATGTAATGCAATTAATATTTTAGAGTTAGGCTTAACTACGCATTTCTAACGTTAACGTATTCTAGTAATAATATTCGTTAGAATTTGCGTTGTCGTTATAGTTACAGTATTTGGTTCTAAATTATGAATATTGTACTCTTTTGAGGGAACTTTCTGTGATTCCAGATTTTCTTAACGTTAATTACATTGGCCAGAGAATGGGCAACATAGCTGTTTAGTTTTTATATATTTTTTAGAACTCGAATTTGTTGGCTCTGTAATTGTACGGGCAAGCTGCAGTGGTAATATAATGTATATTTAAGCCTAACAGTAACAAGTTAGTTATCCAGGCAGACTTGTTTGCTCTGTTGCTGGTTCGCTAGTTCTTATGAATGAGACTGAGAGTTGCGTTAATTCAAATTAAGGTAATGATAATTGGTGTTAAGAATAAGAAAATAATAATTTGTCATTAATCCTTACTCTTATCCCCATTTGTAAATGTTTTAAATAGTATTGATAAAAATGCACGTCAATCTTTATAAATTATTGTTCATATTGTTTAAATATTTGACAATATTAATAATATAAAATACTTTAAATAGTGTCTCACTCTCAGCCACTATCCAATTCTAAGCCATTATGATGGGGTCTAGTATCATTATTTCTGGTAAATTTATGATTTACATTACAATATAAACATTACATAATATAGCTATTTACTTCACTATTAGTATTAATGTTATGAATGATCCCCGTAGTCATTGATCTAAAAGTCAATTTTTATACAATATAATATTTATATATTAATAGGCCTACTGACATTATGCTGTAAGCCACTGATGAGAGAAATGGTGTAGTAAAATATTAAAACTAATAGTAATATAGATGTATTTAGCTTACAGTGGCAGAGAGGTAAGTTGCAGACTAAAAGTAAAAGTGGGTTTCAGTACCTGTGGAGAGCATAGCACAGATAGCCCATAGTACAACTTTGTGCTTAACTAAAAACAAGCAAGCTTATACATAACTTACCTTAATCCTCCTTTTACTAATTTTTGTCTTAAGTTACAATAACAGGAGTTCTTGTATACAGAAAATGAACTGCTAAAGCAATTACTTAAACAAATTAACATGGAAAAACCCATTAAGTTGATTTACAAAATTTATTGTAGCATATAAACATTACAAAATCGCCAGTAACTTATCTCAAGGCATAATTTGCATAGTCTCCAGGCATAGTATATAAAAGGAGAAATAAAACATGATCTATTACTCCAGAAAACACAATTGGTTTTATTTAAGCCAATGTTTTGCCATTGGGGCAAACAAGAAACTTGCCAACTGATTTAGGCTTATACAAAACTCTGCTCACTCTTACCACTATGGCTAATGTAATTAAATCTGCATGAGCCACACTGTTTAAAGTATTAAACTTATGTTAGTGGATATATTGAAGCTGTGAATGTAAGAATGATAACTTTAAGGCATCTATTATCAAAGTAACCACACCATCAACATTTATACTACATAATATATATATATATATGTATAAAATAAGAATTTTTATCTTCAGGAACTTTTTTATGTTGTATGTTAAAACAATAAAAAGACTAGATATAAACTAAATGACTACTAGTATGTAACATTGCACTGGCAATAATCATCAATACTGTTTTACATATAAATTTATATGACTGAAATAGTGAGTAATACTTTTCTGCAATACTGTAATATTGAACTAAACATGTGCTGGTCTGTAAGAAACAAAAGCTCTGACAAAGTCTCGATGTAATCACAAACCATTGAGCCTTAACAGTTCTCGAGTGGTCACGATCAAACTTTCTTTTTCTGCATTCCTGGATTTAACCTAAGTAAGGCCATCTCTGATTGGATAAAATTGGATGTCTCTAGAAAAAGTTCCTGTATAAAAAAAATAGATAACCTTAGGCATGTGCGGGAGGCCTATTCTACACTGGTAATGCAGTTTAAACATATGGTTAAGGCAAATGGGAAATTAAACAACAAAAAATACTAAAATATGTTGACAATTCATTTGGTGGTCTTAGTATTATATATTTATTTGTGTGGGTGAATTTCTATTCTTAATGAAGACGACAAACAACTTCAGATAAAAGTTAACTTATTGAACCTGGCATTTTGGCTTATTCTTTTTTTTTCAAGGGTCATTGAACATCACAGGTATCAAACTGATTTTAGAGTAACTGAAAATAAAATAGAACAACAACAATATAAGGGAACAGTACATGTGACGTGTGCTAAAAGTATTTTTAAGTGGGTTAGAATCACTGATCATAATGGTAAAAGTTAAAAATAAATAAATAAAAGAAAAAAGAGTATTATAGGAGCCAGGCATTGTACCTGTTAATGGAAAGGCATCTGTGTTGAATCAAATGACATTCCTTGAATTTTCTGTCAAGAAAGTTGCCATAAGTCTCAAAATTTTATTCAGTAAAGTGTCTCATTGATTGTACCATGTGCTTTGATGTGATGTTCAGTGGTGGCTTCTTTGCTGTTGTCTGGGTTTTATGTAATAAGTGGGTTAAGGTTTCTTCTACAGGAGGTGTCTGTGTCTTGTTGGTGATAAATCTGATAGTAAATGAACAGCACACACTTCACTTGTTTTATAATAATATATTCAAAACAAGTGAAACATGTGCACAAAAATCCTTTACACTATGGATATTAGAGTTGTATCTTAAACACTAAATAATTCTCTTTTTCTTGTTAAAAGTCCACTCAGGCTGATTCAATTACTTTAGAATCCAAATGACTAAACTAGTTTTCTCTACTCTTGTCAGAATAGTATCAGTGAATAACTCACTTGCATTGCCCTGTGGGTTACCAAAGTCGGGTTCAGTTACTTTAGAACACCCTTTGACAAGACAAGTTATTCTCATTATCTCTTAACAAAATGTGAAACTCATTTTAAGATATCGCCCATTATGGCTGTTCACTCACATGTTGGCTTACTTCACATTTTCTTACTGAACTTTGCTGCTTTAGTTCTCTCTTATTATTATTAACTTGCACTTGTGCACCACTTGTATAAATACTTTAATCACTGAGGCATCGAAAAATAACAAAGATTTGAGTAATGTGACATCAACAATATTAGTCAAATCTCGACAACAATGAATTGCATACACAATGTATGACTTTTACAAAGTTACATAACCAAACTTGTCATACCTATCACCATTAAAATAATTACTATTAACTATCTTGTTCTGAAAAACTAAACAATTGTTAAATATTAACTCACAAAATAAATAAATTAATAATACCTACACTAAATAGTCTTGTATATCCAACAGTTGTCAAGATTACTTTAAAAAGTAATAATGAATTTCAATTCACTTTTGTCACGAATTAAAGGGGATTTAGATTTGCCACATTAAGTTTAGTTTCGCATCTGCGAGTGTGGCAATTGGCTAGCATGAGTAGAGCAAAAGATATCTAATATACTAAAGACAATGGATATCCACAAACATTTATTGATAATACTTTATGAAGTTATGAAAACAGAGTCCACGATAACAATGCAGAAACATTACCACATGAAAAAAAATGCAGTTTCACACAAATATCACTATATTGTATATTAGTCCTAAGATTTCAGCTCATAATGGACAGGCATGTATACAATCAGGTCTTGACATCAGAGTTACAGATAAACCAGTTAGAACTTTGAAAAATATGTTAGTAACATCAACCTTTAAACCAAAAACATGCAATAAACCAGCAGACAAATGTGCATGTCGTAGATCATGTTTAAGAGAAAACTAACCACAAGAATGTAGCATACAGTTTGAGATGCAATTTTTGTGGTTCATTATACATTGGTGAAACAGACAGAACTATGAGGAATAGAATTATCAAACACCTTCGAGCTCTACGTACATTAGACAATAAAGCCAGTCCTGTGGCTAAACATTTTGTTGACAAACATTGTATAATTTATATTGATTGTCCCATAACAGCAAACATTATTACTCACACAACTTTTAGACAGAAAATGCAAAGAAGCCCTATTAACCTTTTCCATACAGGTCAAAGGCCATGTCATGTCGTTTATTGACTCGCATTCAAAATTTTATTGAATTACTATTTCATGAATTTATGTCAGTAAGTTTTGTATCAAACTGTAAATTATAATCCAAATTTTAGTATTATACTTTACTCAATTCCTTAATTTAAAGGTAAATATTAAAAAAAAAAAAACAGTTAAACATTGATTTTTGTGTGTCACGTGGTATGTTGAATGTAGCACTGGTTCAAATCGGATGTTTTTGATGTCTCTAGTTTTGTACGAATTAGGAACTCAAACTACTGAATATTGACAAGCTGGAATATAAAATAAGAACCTCTTATC